GATACGGCTACCCAGTGGCACTTACTCGGGCCATTCCATAGCTGCGTGCCCTGTTTTTTCGCTTGTGGCTGGAACCGTGGGGATAAAATGTAATCTAATTTCTGTCCAACATGCTCTACCTGAAATTGCCTTTGAATTTTGTGTAGGTGCTATTTGTAGGTGACTCAACGCTGCGCGGTTTAATGTATGCCCTACTTGAACACGTGAACCACAGCTTGGAGACCTGGAGACAGTCACACGATATTCTGGTGTTCCAGCATGACCTCCACGGAGGACGATACATGACAGTTGAAGACGGTGAACTGGCAGTTAGACCAGTCATAGCCTTCGCCTACTTTCCCCTCTTTTGGCAAACAAACCCGAACCGTCTCAACCTGACAAAGGCGGTGACAGGACTGCTCAACCAGTGAGTGAGACTTCAGATTATTTTTGTACAACATTTTGGTGAACCACTTGTGGACAGTTCAACCGTCGTTGCCGACAATGTCCACCATGTGCTCCACAGCAAGGCGGGAGCAGGGACGGTGACTTGCGCGTGAGTTAGTCTATAATGAACGTGGGCTTGCACAGCATCTACCGCACTCTCCCCTTCTCCACCACCTGGGCAAGGTGTCATGACTAAGTCAAGAAGACTGGAGGAGGGCGAGGCCTCAGATGGTTGGCACGGCGAAACCCGCACCCAGGCGTACCACCGCACCCCCTGGTCTACAAAAACACTTGATCAGGATTTTACACATCGGCAAAAAGGGGGGGGGGGGGCGGCAGCGGGTCCCAATGGGCGAGGCGTCAGCCCATCGCACCCTAAATGTTGGCATTTGCCATGGGTGCGCACTCCCGAGAACGCCTGCTGGACTGCGATCTAGCCCCCGTGTTGACCCAGCGCATTTACCGCGTGGCTCATTTTAGAGGCAAAGAACTACTCGTGGACTTACATCCTGATATACTGACAGCCTTCCGGCTTGGACATGGCAAATTTTACATCAACCTATCTGTGATATCGCCGTATTAGCGGCTAATATTTTCCCCTATCTCACAAGTCTACCTGCTGCCTTTTTGGAGATCAAGGTGATTATCTGCACCAGTGCGTTTTGTTGACCTCACTGCGCCTTATCTGCCCGCAAATTCTCCTCTTCCAACCCGTTGTCCTTTGTGAGCAATTGGAAAGTGGTAACGATTTTTCCGGCATGGCTTCGCCTGGGACAATGACGTGTGTGTGGGAAACAGCACATAGAAGTAGAACTTGTCGTATAACTGGCTATACTGCTATTGCTTTATCGTTTCACTTAAGTCCTACATTTTGTGCGCATGTTGTCGAAATGGCGGCAAAAACACTGGAAAAAAGGCGTTATTACATGCCTGTGGTTTCAGAAATATACAAATTTACACAGAAATATGTCGTGACAGAGGTCACATAATAGAGCTTGGGTTTCTTCAGAAGCTCATCAGATACCCAACTGTCGACAGAGACTGGGAATTACAAATGCGACACAGTAGCTGTAAACTGCAGCTGTCGGCGTCACTCACAATTGTTGGTGAACTCCACGCAAAAGTATGTCCGATTGCATTTTTTCGGAAACAGCGCTAGCATACATATAATCTGTTACAGAAAAGTTGTCTGACTAGGTCTCGGATGGGGCGGGACCTTAGGCTCCTCAACCTGACTCTCCTCCCCCAAGACGACGGATCTCAGTGTCCGCCGCGGTCATGCCGACCAATCAGGCAGGCCTGGCGTTCGGTTGGACAATGTGCTATGTCATTGTTTCTGTGGGCCAACCCTGCATACAGCTGCACGACCTACTGACTGCTGCCAAACTGGAACGGAATTACTGATATAAGCTGTCTGACGTTCTGATCACTGGCAAGCAGGCTTAATCTGGCACGTCAATCGACAAAGTATGTGAAGGTAATTATTGGTTCACTCTTCATCTCTCTGCGAACTTAGCTGCCTCCCGACACTCCCCCCCTGCCAGCACGATTTCCTCCCAAAGTCAGATGAATGCGGCCGCCGTGATCCGTTTCGCCGTCCCTCCAGATGCATGTACATTAATGCGCGTACGTCAGAACGCCAGAGCTCCTAGGTTCCCACTCCCCCCCCCCTCTTCCTCCTACTCTGCCACGCCACGCCACGGCCACGGCCACGGCCACCTCTACCACCACCTAAAATGGCAATAATTTGCGGAACCATCTGTGCTCAGGTCTACGAATGTTCCTCAAAAAGCACACAACGTGATTCGTATCTGTTGTAACACTAGAAGGCCGCCTTACGGCGGCAAAAAGCTGTGTGATTTTGCTTCACGTCGCTTGAAAACCACAAAAATAATCGGAACGACAGGTTTTGTTCCATAATGCAGGGCTATTAGCAGTGTTAGGGATTTTTATAAGGCGACTGTCCCCTAAATAGCTGATGGAGGTGCAGTCATTCAATGGCAAATCCGCGCCCCGGATATGCCGTAAAAACAACACGCGCGCATGAAGTTTCTAGCCCCATGGTCGCCTCAGGAAAGACTGGACTGTGCTGATAACGCAATCTCAACACATCATGCTTGGGGTTTGGATCTTTAACACCCGAATCAGTGCCATCTTCGGCCCGACTAAAATTTCTGCACCCTTTGCCGATTTTGATGAATTCACGTAATAATCTCCACCAACCAACTTTGTTAGTAAATGCACATAACCGGTTAGGTTCCAATACCGAAATTTTCGGCGGTTGGAAAGCGGGATCCACTCCTTCGGAAATGACGCTCATGTGCTTAGCTCTAAGTAGAACAGGCCAACTTCTCACATGGACGCAGTAAGCAAGTATTCCAATAGAAACATGCGGATTTGGACTCCGTCATCTGTTAAAAGCTACAGTGCGTGATCGATCTCATGAAATGTTGGCCAAAAGTCTGGAATGCGTTTCCGATTAGGAAGGATTACTTAGGTGGGGTTGTGGCACTGATTATCATGCAGCATAACCCTATAATATTTCGTACTCGCCAGGATGTCGGCTTTTGAATGCACTTCGTTTTGACCCGCTGCAGAAAGCACACTCGGTAAAAAATGACTACGTAAGTAGCATGCCTTTTCCTATTAATTTTCGATGGTCTTATAAATTCAAATATATTTTCTATAAAACATGCACAAAAATATGCTTTATTTTGCTCTTTTGGTGGCAAATCACATTGTCTTCATATTGCATGCCCGAAGAAAATGTGTATTTATGTTTTAAAAAAGTTTCTAATTATGAGATTTTTAAGAACGTGCGATGTCGATGCATCTTCGTTTAGTAATGCCCCTCATGAAATGTACAACACAGTCCGGATCCATTGCAAAATTTAATGAACTCTATGTGGTACCTTCTTAAAGGCGTAGAGGAATATATGATTTTCCTTACGCGGAAAGCATGCACCTAGTAGACTGAAGTTGCAAAACGCTGATGCAATGGCAGATCAGGCTGAAAATTATTCGAGAATCGAGAAACTTTTTTAAAACCTAAATAGGCACTTTCTTCGGGCATGCAATATGAAGACAATGTGATTTGCCACCAAAAGAGCAAAATAAAGCATATTTTTGTGCATGTTTTATAGAAAATATATTTGAATTTATAAGACCATCGAAAATTAATAGGAAAAGGCATGCTACTTACGTAGTCATTTTTTACCGAGTGTGCTTTCTGCAGCGGGTCAAAAAGAAGTGCATTCAAAAGCCGACATCCTGGCAAGTCCGAAATATTATAGGGTTATGCTGCATGATAATCAGTATAACAACCCCACTTAAGTAATCTTTCCTAATCAAAAACGCATTCCAGAATTTTGGCAAGAATTTCATGAGATCGGTCACGCACTGTAAGTGATACAGGTTTTTATAAGAACCGCTATTAAAAAATGGTGTTCAAATAGCTGAAAGGCAGGAGTCTCGGAAATTAACCACCAGATCGAGCAAGCCTGTCGTCGGACGCGACAGAGAGACCGGGATGCAGCGCGTGCACTTAACGTGCGTCACGTGCCCTGCGAAGTTTCCTCCACCGGGTCTTCCACCACGTGCTGCGTCATACGCCATCAATTGACGCCATTTTTGTTCTTTCGACCACGTGACCTTCACGGGCGAACGCGGTTGGCTGAGCCATCCCCAAGTGCCGGCAAGCCATTGAAACGAGTGTCTTGATTGATCGCCAAGCTTCTACTTCACAGCGGCACACTGTCAGGACGATTGCAATTGTACGTGTTCATCTTACCACGATGAGGTGGGGAGCCTGCGGAAGACTTTGAACATTGGGCGAAAATGTCGCCGTCAGTCTCGGTGCTGCTTAAAATGATGCCTCCAAGGGCAGTAAGAAATAGAGGAGACGCGGTCGCTGTAGTGAGAAGTCATATTCGTCTGACTATTCGGATCCAGACTCGAACCCATCATCAGAGACCGCCAGAGATAGGGGTAATAGACGCACAGAGGTTGCGGTAGTTCAGCGCTCGAAGACGTGTAAGATAACACACATGGTTGAAGAGATTACCTGGTATAGCATTCCTGTTATGCAAACCCTGAACAGAGCTGTTAAACAACACATAAAACATGCACGTACAGACACAGTAAGAGAACGGATTTAACGTTTGTGAAATTCATGTTACGGTAGAAAAAATGAGCAGAATTAAGAAGGGGGATATAAATATACAAGGGCAGTTCGTGTTGCATGTACAACTGAGCCGTTTGTAGTGGGAAGTGGTTCCGTAATGTCAGGTACAATACCGCTGAGGAATGCAGCGTTGTCGGCAGCTACGTTGGAGGGTCGTGGAAGTTGCTAAAGTGAGATGATAGATGTGGACAAACTCTGTGAGAACGACGATCGGGAGGGGTAAGGAACAACGGCATCTTCATCGACATACAGTGCGTGACCGAGCTCATGAAATGTTGGCCCAAATTCTGAAATACGTTTTCGATTAGGAAGGGTTACTTAGGTGGGGTTGTAATATTGATTAACAAGCGGCATTCTCCTCAGACACGCCGTCCTCTGCTCTACAGTGCGTGACCGAACTCATGAAATGTTGGCCGAAATTCTGAAATGCGTTTTCTTTTAGGAACGATTACTTAGGTGGGGTTGCAATGTTGTTCATCAAGCAACAAACTCCCATGGTATGTCGGGCTCGATCTCCTGCAAAACCCACACTCGGTAAAAATGACTACTTAAGAAGCATGTATTTTTCGCATTGATTTTCGACGGTCCTATAAGTTCAAATATTTTTTGTGCAAAACACGCACAAAATATGCTTTCTTTTAATTGTTTGGTAGAAAATAACATTGTCTTTACATCCTATACCCAAAGGAAGCGTTTATTTAGGTTTTAAAAAAGTTTCTAGTTATGAGATTTTTAAGACCGTGCGATGTCCATACATAGAGCGTCGCACATCTCCGTTTACCAATGCTCCTCGTGAAATGTACAACATAGTACACATTCACTGCAAAATTCTATGAACTCAGCACGGTATCTTCTTAAAGGCATAGAGGAATAGATGACTTTTCTTGTGCGGAAAGCATGCACCTTGTAGAATGGAATCGCTACTGATCTGGCCCAAAATTAGTAAGGAATTGGGAAACTTTTTCAGAACCTAAATATACGCTTTTTTGGGTATAAAATGTAAAGACAATGTATTTTTCCACCAAACAAGTAAAAAAAGCGTATTTTGTGCGTGTTTTCCATGACAAATCTTTCAATTTATAAGACCATCGCAAATCAATGTGGAAAATACATGCTACATATGTAATCATGTTTTAGCCAGTGTGGCTTCTGTAGAAGGTCGAAATAAAGTGCATTTAAAAGCTGACATCCTAGCGAATCCGAAATACTAGGAGAGTATGTTGCTTGATAAGCATCAGTACAACCTCACCCAAGTAATCCTTCCTAATCGAAAGCGCATTTCAGAATTTCGGCCAACATTTCATGAGATCGGTCACGCACTGTATGATCGCATCGCTCCCGTCCTGTGTCCGTTCCAACAGTGGCCTCGATTCGCTTAAACAATTCAGTCAGATTCGCGATGCGTTGCAGTAGCGTTGTCCATAGTGTACCCCATTATACCGCCAAGTACTCCCAAATTTCCTCGTTAATTTCTGAGGTCGCCCCGATTCGCGCTGCAGCAGGCCCTAGTGGGATCTGCGAACGCAATGCAAGGGGCCACTTTTCAAACTGGTTTACCATACATCAAAAACTACTATTAGTTAGAAGGTTAGACACCTGTTTCGCCTATTTTGTACTATGATCGACTGAACTCGAGAAGGTTTATGCCGAAAAACGTACTACCAGAGTCTTAATTTATTTCTGAGAATATGAAAAACTCCAATTATTTTCGATCAGATGTGGTTATGTAGCCGCACCTGAGTTAAACAAACCCCAGCCGCCTATAATACGGGACCGACGATAATAGGGGTTTTTGCAGATGGGGTCGGGGAACGCACAGGCGACGAGGTCAAGAAATTTTATGCAAAAGAAAAACTATTGGGAATGCGCGGTTGTACTTTGAGTGCTTGATAAATTGTTGTCCTAACCCCTTACTCCAACCCTAATTCCTTAACCCAAACCCCTAACAGTATTGTGTCCCGATCGAAACCGACAGGGCGACAGACTCGTGACCCAGTGGTTAGAGGCGTGGACTTCGAACTAACAGGTCGCGAGTTCGGGACTCGAGTGTTCCACACTTCGGGGTTGGGTATGACTGGCTGACGACGGCTAATAAGCCAGAAATGGCCATTCCAACCTTCCTTGTCTTTGTCGGTAATGCCATTCTGTCAGTATTTTTTCCCTCAGGTGCGGCTGCATAACCGTAGTTTTCGCGCTGCGGATATCACATTAGTTGTTCCACGACCTTCCCAAAATCCGCGCATTGAGTCTTCGGAAGAAGCCCTTGTTCCAGGTGTACAGTCAGGCGATCATAGAGGTTACAGGGGAAGATTCTGTTGGATCTGGATTATAAGTTCTCCCCCCCCCGTACAACAGGTGGCCTAAGGTTAGGTTCCAGGAGTACATACTCTCGTGTACTACCCTTGACCAGATCTGCGAGGGGTACTCCTCCTCCTCCTCCTCCTCCTCCTCCTCCTGCCCCCTCCTCCTTCTCCACAATCATCACTATCACAGCCGCCCCCACCATTAAACCTATCCCCCGGAATTTGGCGCAAGTTCATCTGTAATAGGGGGGGGGGGGGGGCTTATAAGCGTGCCGTGCCTTGCCGGCGATACTAAGAAGGCGTTTTCGCAGATTCTCCCCTCACTTTTTAATTTGTAGAGAAGAGTGCTGTTGACTTACTGGAAGTCATGCAGGATTGATCATTGTATCCACATCTACTGTGGCAGCAAGGCAATTTTGTTGACAAAACCGAGTGCCAACGTATGTGGAGACTTCTGCTGGGAGTGACTCAGTGCCCGCGTTTTTTTTCACCGCGCAACTGCTATACACTGTCCTAAACGTGCCCCATGCAGGAATGATGGATGCTCAATGTGAGCATTGATTCTGTTAGCGACTTCCTCGCGGACTGAGAATGAAGGAGTTTGGAGGTACCCAAGCTGTACAGCCCAGCGTTACCTGATAGGGGGCACCCTTTGCTACTCGACACTAGAGCCTCGCCAGTCAGGGAGGGGTAGATGGATTGGTGCGCTGGCTTTGCGTTTTCCCCCGGTTAGTCGTTTTAACTCGTAAATGAAGGCGCGCTAACGCGTTGTTCCAGAACTTCGTGCACTTTTAAATTATTCATAATTTTATCTTTCTCCTATGTATCATTCACAGAACTAATCAGTTATGTATCCCCCTTCGTTGTTCACAACCTCCCTACAATATCCAGGCGGTTTTTCAATCCGCTGATTTTTTCTTGAAGAAATCTGCGGATTTGTACGCAACGAAGTTATCGATCCGGTTTTGGAGATCCGCGTCAATGTTGTTCAAATTTTTTTCGAATGACCGAAAAAAGATGGGAATCCGGTGGAGCACGGTCTGGGGAGTATGTCGGATGCGGAAGAACCTCTCAGCCGAGCTCTTTTATGACATTTTGGAGAATTGTGCGACGTAAGGCCTGGCGTTTCAATTCTGCAAAATGACACCGTTTTGAAGAAAGAGTGGGGAAACACCCGAAGTGTTTAGCCCACCGTTCCCTGACAGCAGAACTGTTTCATCTGAGATAACAGTGACACAATTGAGACGCTTCTAGTGGGATAGATGGATTAGTGATGTGACTCTGCGTTTATCCGGAGTTAGCCATTCCAACTCGTAATTGGATGCGTATGAGGGGGCATTATTGGCTTGTTCTGCAAGTTCATGCGCTTTACAGTTTTTCAAAATGTTATCATATTCTTTTACATTATTCACAGAATTAGTCAATTAGGCATTCCTCTTCGTTGTTCACATCCCCCCCCTCCCCCCCCCCCAACATTTAGGCAGTTTTCCAATCCTGTAGTTTAAGAAATTGACGTGTTTTGACGCAAAAAGTCATCGAACCACTTCTGAAGATCCACTTCGTTATTGAGGGATACTCCGGTCAAATTGTGTTTGAGGGACAGAAGAGGGTGGTAACCCGATGGAGCAAGGGCTGGGGAGTATGGTGGATGCGAAAGAACCTCTCATACAAACTCTTCAATGACGTTTTTGGAGAATTCTACGACGTGAGGGCTGGCGTTTTCATACTGCAAAATGGCCGATGCCATTTTGGCGCTTTTGTTGAATCACCTTACCTAGACCCCGAAGCCATTGACTCTAAAACTCTGCATTGATGGCCTGGTTCCTTGTAAGCAATTCATTATGGATTACTCCCTCCACATCCCACCAGACACGCAGCATCCTCTTATGAGGATAAAGATCCGGTTTGGCTCGAGGTGTTGCCTGATCTTTGGGGCCAAACCGCTCTTTCCTTTGATTCATATTCAGGTATAAGCCCCAGATGTCATCACCAGTGAGAATAAGCTTCAAAAATGGTTTACGTTTTTGGCGGGCGAGGCGGTTTCGGGCGAATAATGAGACATAAACAAACTCGAGTAAAAAAGATGTCGGGAATGTTCACGTTTGTCTGTCTGACACTGCACTTCCTTTTGGCTGTAGGTAATAAAAAGTTGACTAAAATGGAACATTACATATATGTTCTGCAAGTGTTTGGCTAGTGGAATAAAACGACATATAACACAACTGCATCAAACAAATTACTACATGCTAGAGTTTTGAGTAAGTGAAAGACGTACTCAGTGGTTTTTGAGGCGATTAAAAAGTTGAAGCTTCAAAACTGGAGTATCTACCAGAAAGAACAAGAGGAACGCTGGGGGACCAACTGACGAGACGAATCCCTCTCAGTAGTGTTTTGCGACGATAGAATGTCAACGGAACACGCGTCTGGCTTTTAAACTAGTACCTGTATTGCCAGTGTGGTAGGTCAAGTTTTTGAGAAGGAACTGGCATGGTTTCATATTTATATAATTGTTTTACCAAACATTATGACTCCAAGTAATATTTAAAACAAGGATTCACTTTGGGGTAAGGTGATACCATACTTACAGCACAGGTACTAGCCAAAAGCCCATACACGCGTGTTTCGCCGATATTCTGCCGTTGCATGGCGCAGCTGAGAGGGGTTCGGCTCGTCAGTGGGTCCCCCAGCATTCCCCGTGTGTTTTCTGGTAGATACTCCAATTTAAAAATTGTCGCTTTTTAATTTCCTCGGAAATTTTCTACTCCACGCAACGGCAGAATATTGGCGAAACACGCGTGTATGGGCCTTTGGCTAGTACCTGTGCTGTTAGTATGGTATCACCTTACCCTAAAGTATACTACTAGTTTTCTGTCGACAGTTAATGAATATTACGCGTTTACCCACTGTGGCTGATGGACTTTGGTCCAAATATTCATACATAAAATTCTCGGTCGGAGCCTATAGACCTTGAATAAACTGATCTACTCCAACTTCGTAGATCATTTCTGAAGAGATTAAAAGGCGACAAGGATTTACTGGTGATGAAGGGAGTACTTTGGAGATTGCCTGTAGTACGTTAAGTTTACTGCAAAATGTGTCGGTTCTGGATCTAAACGGCTTTACGATTTCGCAAGATTTGCAATGATGGCTGCACTGCTACTGTCTAACTTTCCAGACACGCCTTTCGCCGATATTCTGTCTTCGTATAGCACAGTTGTGAGGGCGTCGGCTCATCGGTAGGTCCCCGAGCTTTTCCCATGGGCTTTCTGTTAGGCACTCCAGTTTAAGCCCTTCAGCTTTTTTAATCTTTTCGGAAATGAGTGCGCCATCCTGGAGTATATTGTTCGGAATGTGGCTTTATAGTGTCAGTCATTGGTATTTGATCTGAGCTCCATCGGCTACAGCGTGATAACCACGTAATATTCATAACCTGTCAATATAAAGTCGGCGCTGTATTCGTATGGCACGATTTGCCATACCATTGAGCCGAACCCCTTGTAGCTCTGTCATGTTCGGCGAGACACACATTTTTCCAGTAAATACCGGTGCTGTCAGTATGGTATACCAGGCAACATGAGTACTATACTGACCGCCTGTTGGTAGTTTCGAAATATCACGCGGTTATCCCATTGACGTTGATAGTTTTTAGCTCAAAAATTCGTGCCATTTTTTGGCTCCAGCCGATAGAGTAACATTTTAAAGGATTTACTATATGGAAGAACATTAATTCTTGGTTGGTGAGGAAGGCTGTTTAAAAAAAAACGTTCGACCAAAATCATAATGCCTACTCGGAAAGATGTCATAAATAGGTTACAAATCAAAATCTTCCACGCAAAATATATGAAAACAAAGAACCTTTTCCAACAATAACAATGCCAATAATCTCGCGAAGGGTTGACTGAATTTCTGTATGCTATTCTAAATTATTACTTAGTCAGGGCTACGACATTTATTATCATGTCGCATAATGCTAAAATATTCCAGTCACGCCAAGATGCCTGCTGTCAGATGAAATTTTTATCGGCTGCTTGCTTCAACTATATTTCCCAAAAATCAACCACTTAAATAGCATGAATTTGTCTGAAGAATTTTCGATGTCCTCATAAATTGAAATAAATTTTGTATAAACATGCATAAAACTTTTTTACTCATTTGGTAGTCACTCATGTTGTCTTCAAATTTTATACTCAAAAGTATCCTTCTGTTTTAAAAACGTTCTTACTTTCCGAACTATTTCGAGCCTGACCTGCTGGTACCTTGCATTCCGGGGTTTCCCATAAACTAGCCGTTTATTTTTCGCGCAAGGAAAATCTTATATTTATTTTAATTATTTGGTAGCAACTTACGTCTTTTTTGAATTTATACTTGAAGCAAAAGTAACTCCCGTTAAAAAACGTTCTCAATTCCTGATTAATCTTGAACCTGACCTGCTGTTATAATGACATTCGGGGTTTAAAAGATGCAAGCTGTATAACTTTGAAAAGGATTTAAATCACCACAGTCTTTGATAGTCTTCGGTCACGTTCGTTAGAAAAACCGATAAGATGTCTTCTTAAGTAACTCTTTTACTGAAATTTGGGACTAAAAATAATATTTAAAATTAGGATTTACTCGCGATAAAGCGGCTGTTTTGGAAAATGTCTGAGGCGCATTAAGCATATCGTAAAATGTACCCGTTCTAAATCCAAACTACTTTATTAGTTTGTATGATTTTTAATACTGGCGGCACTGCTACTGTCTAGCTTCCCAGACACGCGTTCTGCTGATATCCTGTCTTCGTATGGCACAGTTGTGAGGGAGTCGGCTCATCGGTAGGTCCCCGAGAGTCTCCCGTGTGCTTTCTGTTAGGTACTCCAGTTTAGACACTTCAGCTTTTTAATCTCCTCAAAAATTAGTGCGCCACCTTGGGGTAAATCGTTCGGAATGTAGCTTTACGGGCTCAGTCCGAGAGTGGACGACAGTTGTAGAATTCCTCGTAAATTGAGTCACGCGTATAAGCCACAATAGATTTCGGTGTATATACGGTGCTAATGATAGAATAAGGTAAAAATAAAAAACGTACAAACTTCAACAATGGATACCCTAGACCAATAATTCCTTTGTTACTGTTCGAGCGAATCGAATTCCCAGCTCAAGGTCAGAATACAAAAAATTAGTTAATTAAAAGAACGCCGATCACGTTCGAAAGAGGGTTATGAAAGGGGGAAAGGGGAATGTCAACAGGGACCAAATGTGGAAGCACTTGCGAGGAGGGCGTGGAGAATTCCAATCGTTGACCAGCTGGATACAACAATAGTATTTGAACTGAGCCCCATCATCCATAGCATAATATGACTGTCAATAGAACGCCAGGATCATATTCGTGTAGCATGATTTGCCATTCTATTGAGCCGAATCCCTCACAGCTGTGTCATGCTACAGCGACCGAATATCGGCGAAACACGTGTTTTATTTTTTAGCTAGTACCTGTTTTTTCCGAATGGTAAATCATGCGGCAGGTGCATGTGAAAATCCTATTTACGCCAACGGCCTTAGCGGTCGTTACACAACACCTCCTTGAGCTTGAAATGCATAAAATTAAGACTAGACACTGATAACTTGGCTCTCGATCTCAACTTGGGCAGGTTCCTGAAGCCTTGTCTCAGTTGACACGTTTGGATTCTGATTTTTTCTGACTGGACGCACCCCCCCCCGCCCCACGTGATTAGGTCAATTTCCTCGGTTGCGGTATGCAACGAAACTCCAGCGGCACCGAACGAAATCCTTAAATATGCTTTTGGCTCCAGTAGAGAGCAGCAGGCAACATTCTTCCAAACCAATTCATACGCTGTAGCATGTCGGCTTCAGGTTGAGGGCTGTTTTCAAAGGGTCTGTAAGCGTGTGCTATGCCAGTATCAGCAGACCATGGCCATCGTAGCCTGCTATGCCCTGGCAGTTCCCTGTCAGTGGATGCGCTTGCGCTCCCGCTAGGTACACAGGCGGTGGTCATGACTGCCCACTCATCCTCGTCGCTCAGGCTCCTGTTGGGGTGTTGTTGTTGTTGTTGGTGAAAAATCCTGATCAGGTGTATGTTGTGGACCAGGGGGAGTTGTGGCATGCCTAGGTGCGGGTCCGGCCGTGCCAGCCACTTGTTCCCTCCCCTACCTCCGGTCTTCTTGACTCGGTCTTGACACCAGGTCCAGGTGGGGAGTGAGTGTGGTTGATGCTGGGCAAGTCCACTATCACTATAAAGTAATTCACGCGCAAGTCACCTTTCCTGCTCTCACAATGCTGCGGAGTTCACGGTGGACATCGTCGCACTCGACGGTAGAATTGTCATATCAAACTAGGCAAATGACTGCTCAAATAGTGCGGCTTTTGTATTGATTTTTGACGTCTGTAAATATTCAGTCCATCGTCCCTGTCGGCGCCCATCTAGCATTGCTATTGGACGCTAAGACTCTAGATTGAGCCCCAAGGTGCATTGGGCGAGCATGTCCCCTAACCTGGCCAGAAAACTACCGCCTTCCCACGATTCTTAAGAAGTGCATATTCTTCTATTGATTTCTGACGCCTGTGAAAAATCAACCACAGTTTACACAAAGGATGCGCAAAGAATTGATTTCCTACATCTTCGCTTGGTAGATTTTTCAACGTTTGTACTTAAGAAGTGGGCTTCCTTCTGTAAGGAATGAGAGGTTTAAATTGAAAGAATTATTGAGGAATTCACATTTCCGTTCCGGTAGCCTAATATCCGTATGTATCCAAGGCCCTTTTCCCAGGAATATGAAGGGGTATACAAGACGCTTTTAGGGAAATTACACAGCATGAAGCTTGAAAACCTGAGCAAAATAATATTAAATTATTATGCTACATATTATATACATATTTAAGGGGAACGGAATATGCTCAATTGGAGCTTTGTTGGGGGGAGTGTTATCGAATGCATAAAAACGTCGATAATTCATGCAAAACTACATGAGCAGTTTCCGTGAATGCGATTTTCATGGATGGTGAAAAGGGGTCTCTACCAAAAGTCAGCGTGGCTTCCTCTCCCCGTCAATTAATACTAAAGCCACCATTCAGCAATATTTATGCTGGAAGAGTCGTTAAGAACGTCAGTAAATACACCACTAGGTTTGACACCTTTGGTAAGTCGGCACCAGTAGAATAAAAAACTTGTTCGTTTATTGATCCCCGGACCAAGGTCGATCATTATTCGTTAAAGTGGTCAAAAATAAAGTTTCGCCCTCAAAGCAAGTGATATCTTGTCTTCAAAGAGGTCTCCTGCAATACGACCGCGTTTCATGTTTCCTGGACAATCAAATACCCTTCTCATGCACAGAGACGGGAGACGGGTTAAAGGTGGTCACGTTAACAATACAGTGCGTGACCGATCTCATGAAATGTTGGCCGAAATTCTGAAATTCGTTTTCGATTAGGAAGGACTACTTAGGTGGGGTTGTGGCACTGATTATCATGCGGCATACTCCTATGGCATTTCGGACTCACCAGGATGTCAGCTTTTTGATTCACTCCTTCTTTACCTCCGGCAGAAAGCCTACTCGGTGAAAAAATGAGTACTTAAGTAGCATGCATTTTTCCTATGGATTTTCGAGGGTTTCATAAATTCAGATATATTTTATAGAAATCGTGCACAAAAATAAGCTTTCTTTTACTCATTTGGTAAAAAATAACATTGTCTTTGCATTATATGCCCGAAAAAATGTATATCTAGGTTTTAAAAAAGTTTCTAATTGTGAGATTTTTAAGACCGTGCGATGTCCTTGCATACAGTACCGCACATGTCCGTTTACCACTGCTGCTCATGAAGTGTACAACACGGTTCGGACCCATTGTGAAATTTTATGAACTCTATGTGGTATCTTCTTAAGGGCGTAGAGGGATCTATGATTTCCCTTACGCGGAAAGCATGCACCTTGTTTACTGAAATCGCTGGACACTGATGCAATGGCAGATCAAGTTCAAAAATATTCGGGGGTTGGGAAACTTTTTTAAAACCTAAATATACACTTTCTTCGCGCATAAAATGAAAAGACAGTTTCAGGAGCAGGTTCGCTCCCGTCGTCAGAAATAAGTTCAGGGCCTGCCTGAAGTTTGTCGCACATGTTGACCTCGCGCAACCTCCAAGACTGCCTGTGTGCAGGCTCCACACTGCGGGGTTTGGCTGTTGCCGCGATGGCTAGTGGCCTCCTCTCCCCCCCCCCCCTCGACAGGGTTGTCGTCTCAGTGCCCGAAGGTGTTGATATCTCGTCTGCGCCCATCTCGTGACCTTAGCAATGGTTGCTACGTCAGCGCCGGCGCGTCGTGCACGTTTGGATGACGAGCCCCGTCATCGCGTTTATGCACGACCTGAGCCCACGCCCGCCTGCGTTCAAACCCAAATGGAGAAGGGGGGGGGGGTCTCACGGATTCGTTTTCTCCTCGCGCTGCGTTCACCGCCCATATATGCGTGCACGTCCGCTGACGTTCTCGCTCAGACTGGGATCGGCCCGACTATCCGCACCTCCACGGTTCTGCCACTCGTAGGGCACGGTGGCAGGTCTTATCAGTCCGAGGCGGTTTGGGTTAGATTATTAGTTCAAACGTGGATGGTATTTCATTTCTGATTGTTTCTTTTGCTGATCACGCAGGCTGAACCTACCTCGAGGCGCGGAAGTCACACTGGTTGTCGGAGGAGCACAGTGGATCACTCTGAAACACCTCATCCAGATCGATCAGCTCCGCCGTTTGACCAGGTGAGTTCCTCAGTAGGACCCTATTTTTTAGGGTAGCGGTCGCCAGTTTGGCTACGCTGGTGTAAAGTAGGTAGTTAAGATAATGAATTTTATTTAGACTCGCCAACATTTCTAATCACCGCCTTCTTCTTATTCACAGCAGGCGTCGAGACTGCAGAAACTGCCGGATATCTAAATAGGGTTCAAACGCGGTCACTTATGACTCTCAGTTTAAAATACAGACCATTATGTACAGTAGGTGGGCTAACTCATGAAATGTTAACCGAAATTCTCAGATGAGTCTTCGTTTCGAAAAGATTAATTAAGTAGGGTTGTAAAACTAGTCAACCTGCAACACAATTCCATAATATTTCAGTTACCCCAGGATGCTGGCTTTCGAATAAACTCCCATCCGGCTGCATGCAAAAACTATACTCTGTAAAAAATGACTACTTAAACAGCATAAATTTTCCTCATTGATTTTCGATGCCCCTAAATGTCCAATTATATTTCCTGGAAAGCATGAATAAAAGTATTCATTCTTTTGCTCATTCGGTGGACAATTACGTCTTCTTCTAATTCCATACTTGTAGGAATGGTATAATTCGGCTTTCAAAAATTTTTCCAATTCCCGAATAATTTTGAACCCGCTCCAGCGTTACACTTGGATTCAGG